CTGGGGACACCCTGGGGGGCACCTAGAGACACCTGGAGACACCTGGGGACACCTGGAGACACCTGGGGGACAGCTGGGGACACCCTGGGGGGCACCTAGAGACACCTGGAGACACCTGGGGACACCTGGAGGCACCTGGGGGACACCTGGGGGCTGAGGATGGCACTTGGGCAGTACCTGGGGGCACCTGGGGGTGCCTGGGGGACACCTGGAGACACCTGGGGACACCTGGGGACACCTGGAGACACCTGGGGGACACCTGGGGACACCTGGGGGCTGGGGATGGCACTTGGGCAGCACCTGGGGGCACCTGGGGGCGCCTGGGGGACATGAGACCCTCACCTGGGGCTCCCCTGGGGACACAGGAGCCTCCCCTTGGGGACACGAGAGGCTCACCTTGGGGACGGGGGGCTCACCTGGGACTCCCCTGGGGACATGGGGCACCCCCTGGGGACACAAGACCCTCACCTGGGGCTCCCCTGGGGACACAGGAGCCTCACCTTGGGGACATGAGGCTCACCTGGGGACATGAGGCTCACCTGGGGACATGAGAGCCTCACCTGGGGCCCCCCTTGGGGACGGGGGGCTCACCTGGGGACAGGGGGCGCCCCTTGGGGACACGAGACCCTCACCTGGGGCTCACCTGGGGACACGAGAGCCTCCCCTGGGGACATGAGGCTCACCTGGGGACAGGGGGCTCACCTTGGGGACACGAGAGCCTGCCCTGGTGACACGTGGCTCACCTGGAGCTCACCCGGGGACAGCACAGCCCGTGGGCGGCCCTGAGCCAGCGGCTCACCTGGCCCTGGGGTCACACCTGGCCTGGAGGGTGACACCTGGCCCTGGGGGTGACACCTGGCCCTGGGGGGGTCACACCTGTCCTGGGGTCACACCTGGCCCTGGGGGGGTCACACCTGGCCCTGGGGGGGTCACACCTGTCCTGGGGTCACACCTGGCCCTGGGGGTGACACCTGGCCCTGGGGGGTGTCACACCTGTCCCAGGGTGGCACCCCTGTCCCTGGGGGGTGTCACACCTGTCCCAGGGGGGTCACACCTGTCCCCCCCACCCCCCCAGGGGTGTCCCCGGTACCCCAGGACACGTCTGGGGACACGCACGGACCGTCCCCTCCCTCCCCACACGGCTGTCCCAGTGTCCCCAGTGTCACCAGTGTCCCCA